CTCTCCCTCTCTCTCTCTCTCTCCCTCTCTCTCTCCCTCTCTCTCTCTCTCTCTCTCTCTCTCTCTCTCTCTCACCCACCATGTGACCTCTGCTGCCACCATATTGGTCCTCTCCCACTTGTGTTGGGTGGACATTGTTTTGCAGTGCATCTGGCCTCCTGGCTATCCTGACCCCTCACTGTGGTGATCTCAACCATGCTCACGCAAACCTAAATGCCACTACTATCATTCTTGTTGTTAATTGAACTATAAATCACTGCGAGTGGCGCATGTTAGCGTGCGTGCGTCTGTAAATCATGAAGGTCATCTGTGTTTGTTTACTCTCTGGGTGTAAAGCCAGCCCCGCTCCAGTTGAGGCCTTTCATTAGAGGTGACACCTATGACCTGAGGAGGCGCTCTCCGTTCCCCTTGTTGACTGAGGATCAGTGCAGCATGCAAACACAATGAACCGGGGTTTGGTTGGGTTCATGTATTAGTAAAAGGTGTGCGTGTGGGAGGAGGGTAATCTGAGAGAAGGATGACTTTGAATTTTAACTTTCAAAAGCTGATTTGGGAGAACTGGTGGGATTTCAGACTGTTAAATCATCCTCCGCTCACAGGATGCGGAGACGAAATGAAAGACAGTGGGAAGAAAAGAAAAAGACATCCAGAAAGAGCAGGTGCATGGCAGAGTGCAGAAGTTGCCTTTTGTGCTTCCTACTCCGAAGTGGGTGGGCGTGTGTACATATTGATGCATTTCACCTCAGAAAAGTGCGTGCAGTACATGAGGTCTTAGTTGCACGTACGTTTTTGGACCAGGGATTTATGTCAGCGGGCTAATAAGTAAATGAGCATGCAGGCAGAGCAGTCCAGAAATGGTAAAGCTGTAATCTTGGTGAAATTCGTTTAATCGCGAGGAGGAGAGGTAATCTGTCGAGATGGGCTCACGGAGGGAGGGTGTTTATGCAGCCAGAGTGTTTCTATTTCAGTGAGGTGCTACCCTGCAGGAAATTTTAATCCTGGCTGTGTGTTATCCGCCGAATGAGTTTTTTTGCGGCTCAGGTTAATGGGAGACGCACAAGCAGCGATGCTGATCGATGGAGGTTTGGTTTCTTCTTTGGTAACTTTCTCATTTAATGCAAAAAGACACCACTGAACAAAATAAGTGAAAAGCGCGGGGAGGAGAGGGAAGAGACGAGCGAGGTGGGAGACTGACTGGGAGAGGAGGGAGGATGGCCTGTGGGGTGATGGTGAGGGAGATGGAGAGGAAAGAGAGGAGTGAATAGAGATGTGAGTGGTTGAAGCTGGAGAAAAGAAAGGGGCTGAAAGGAGAGAGGAAGGCTGCAAGAGAGGAAAAGCAGAAAGGACGGATGGTAGCTGGAGAATGTGACGGAGGTGGAAGGCCAGAGAAGAGGACTTGTGACAAAGAAACTCAGGATGAGAGGAACAAATGGCACGTGATGAAACGGGGATGCGTGGAAGAGAAACAAGAAGCTCGGAGAAATAAAAAGAATTGGAGATGCAGCTAAGAGGGTTCGGGGGTTTGGGATGAAAGCGGGGGAGATTTGAGCACATGCTGTGCGCTGTTTACTGTAATGATTTCCTGAGGCGAACAGATTGAACCCTGGACCAAGTATTTAGCCCGACTGCAGCGGGAGTGTGTGTGTTTACATGTGTGTGCATGCTTGAATGTGTATCAAGCTGACATACCAAACTGTAAAAGCTCAATATCTACGATACAGAAGGTTGTGTGTTCATTAAAGTGGGAAATAATCAGTTTTTCAGCAAATGGAGACAAAATTGAATGAGCCCATTGATTGTTGTTTTTTTATTTAAGGAGTGATTTGACATGTGCACCTTGCACACGTGAGGCAAATTTAAAGAAGGAATTCAAACTTCAAAGACTTTTGTTCTTCAAAAGTGCCTTACACCTACCTAACACTTCACACTACAGCAGCAAAAATGGTTTGGTCGATGTGTCTTTTTTCATCTTTTTGTTTATTTCAAATATAAGTCATGCTTACAAGCAAAGCAAATGGTACACAAGGGGTGAAATACAAAAGCATATGAAAAAGAAAACGGAAAAGATGAGAAAGACAGAAACAGGCACAAAAAATGAAAGACAAAAACAAATCCAAAAATTAGAGACATATTAAAAAATGATGAGTAAAAGCAAAATTAAGGGTGTGATATATGCAGCGTGTGTATAGACACCTCACAGGTATGGTCTCATTCACAACCGGATCAGCGACTCAGAGAATGACATGGCTCATAAATCACAGCGCTTTACACGCTTATCTTAAAGTACCATGTTGCCAACATTTCCTTTCAGTTAGTCAGTCATCTCTTTCTGAATCTCTGAATGAGAATTTGTTAGAAAAGAGATCGGTTTGTACACATGCAAGCAAACACATGTTAGCAAGCCTTCGGATACACATTCACAGTTGGAAGTTGTGAACTCCAAGCAAGCAGGTTGTGTGTTAACGTGAAGCTGCATCTTGAAAATCGTTTTACTTTGTATTACAATTTTTTGGCTATTTTCTGCTGGATTGAAGTCAGAATTTCAAACTTCCCAACTTGCCTGAAATGCATAAAAAAAAAACACATGCAAATACACACATATACATGTATTCACAAACACACACAGACATAAATACAGGCATGTATACACACACACACACACACACACACACACACACACACACACACACACA